GCCACATCTGAATTTCAAGGCCTATGTAATTCACATTAGGCACGCCTTTATAACTGACAGTAGGCCTATGTATTATTATTACATAGGGTGTTCTGAACTTCAAAAGGAATTTAGCCCTATGTTGGGCACTTCTCTCTAATTCTCTTATGCCTCTTTCTTGGGCTTACAAAGTCTATTCATTTTGCACCGTCACAAAGAATTCTAAAATTAGGTTTTCTTATTGCATCTACGAATTCAGAACCCCTGTAATCCCTTTTCCTGATATCCTTGTATCCCTGCTTTGTTCCCATAGTGATACACTCCAACTCTTCTTTTGGTACCTTAGTACCTTCCTTATCTTGATTTTGTTTAGGTCTCCGTACTTTTTCCTGAAAACCAATATGAGCCTGCTTCTTATTTTCTTTTCTCCTACAATTTTGGGATTCATGAGCCAGCCGCTTTCAATGATCACACAATGATCACCAGATAAAGGTTTAGCCCATCTTACTGCATCCTCCCAATCAGATTTGTTCTCGAGAGCTTCATTCTCCTCAAACTTTGACGATGATGTGTTTTGTGTGCGTCCCTCTGCAAATTCAGCATGGTTTCCCCCTGCGATTGATTAGCAGCATTCTCCTCTTTGAGCTTAAAATGTTAAATCTTGTTAATAGATATATATCTTGATATCAAATTTTTGCAGGTTACAGAATTGAGGAAGGATTACACGAGTTTGATTGCTTTGGAAGGAACAACAGTGCTGCGAAGTTCTATTCTTAAAAGTCAAATGCCTTCCAAGGTAATTTAACTTGATTATAATTCAGACTCCAACTCCATTTTCTATTTGGTTATTCGTTGCGAGCAAAATGAATCAATCATATAAATTGGTGCATGGTTGTGGTTGAGCTTTTACTTAAGATAGAACTTGTGCATCTGATAGTTATAGTAAAATAAGGCAATGAAAGTCTCTATGTTCATCTAATTGGTGCTTTGATTGAATTGCAGGACAACAACAAATGCCTTTTAAGGTAAACAAACTTCGTTATAGTTCAGACTCCGTTGCCTCCAAGAAACTGTCACTACGCAGGTAAACCAATGTCCAGACCTCTCCTACGGCCACCTGCCAGATGATGAGTCCCAACAACGTCCAAACTTTGTGCTTCTCCTTTGTTCTCTACCGATCAACTTCCGTCTACTTCAGCGACATCCTCATAGTACAAATAATATCTCCAATTTTTAACAGTGCATCTACTCGTAGGGGTGTGAATCGGTCAAACTTGGACCGGACAGGAAGCATATAAGGACTTATTAATGCACCTAGGACCGGACCTAATTACCTATGGACTGGACCGGGCTTGGACCGGTAATATCCAATCCGGCATGGGACCAGCCGAATAAGACCCGGTTCGAAATTGGATGTTTGACGACATGCGTAAATGACTAATAGTTTTTTGTTCGTTTTGACCACAATTAGTGCTATATGCATGGGCTGAGCCTCATTCATGACAATAAGCTCTAATGAACGAAGAAAAGAATTTATTTTAAAAAACTAACTTAAAGGTTCTATAAAATTACAGGTGACAAGAATACTTTATTTTATCAAATAATCAGGGAAAACACAATGAATAAACAATGGTTTTCGAGAGATGAAAAAAATGTAATCTATTGCGGGATTGAGGGTGTATGGTAATATTTGGATTGATATGGTGTGTGCGTGTGTGTGTGTCTTTATACTCCCTCCATCCAACAATAAAGTTCATGGTTTGACTAATGAGTTATAAAAATTCTGTTGACTTTCCTGTTATACGCCTACGCCTTTACATCTCTCCATCAGTCACCATTTGTCATCGTCAGCATCGTCAATGCTAATGATGATTCTCCTGCGCTGCTGACGATGACTCTATGGCACGGCAACGATGTCTCTACGGCACCACCGCGAATGACTTCTCTAACTCTTGTTGCCGACATCCCTCGGTAACTCTCCACCCTCATAGATCTGGTTCTGTGGTGAAGGCGATAGGAAACCTTGGCAAGGATGAATGATGAATCTCTTGCATCCAAGGTTTTGACGTGAAGGCAAGGAGGGATTTGTTGATCTATGGAATCATTGGCGGCTATGTCGGAGGAGGAGCAGATCTGACCACCCTCTAACTTCCGACCACCTCCACCGCCTTGCTGCTCTGCCTTTACCCCAATCGCCGCTTCACTGCTCCCAATCATTGGGTGACAGGACAAAATCAGAAGGAAGAGGAAAAGGAGAAGAAAGAAGAAGAAGAAGAAGAAGAAGAAGAAGAAGAAGTAGAATATCGGACACTTGCTATCCCTAATTCACTAAATCAGAACCTTTTCTGGGCACATTCATTCAGTTCAACGACACAAATCAATGCCAAAATATTTTAACAACAATAACCATAGATCATCAAAAACCTCTTTCTAGAGCCAAAACTTGGTGTGAGTGTGAAAAAGGCAAAGGAAATCCTCTCTCTCTCTCTCTCTCTAAATAGCTGATGCCTACTTTGGTGTTCCCAGATGCATGCTCGGAAAAAGTTTTAAGAACCATTTCAAAGCTTTGAGTAAACTTGGCCATAGCATACTGGTCCAAATTGTTTGTCGGCAACTGAATTTTCAACTGCTCCAAATTGTTTGTTGGCAACTCCAACTTTCATTCTAGGAACAACTTCTTCTTAAAACGAGAACCTTAACACTTGAATCAGCAACTGGTCCAAATCGTTTGTTGCCAACTCCAACTTTCATTCTTATTGATTGCCTTATTGGAGGCCAAAGGACAAACAAAGAAGTGCAAATTGTTAGGGCAAATAATAAATAAGCAGGCCATTGTGGTCGTGAAGCGGTGTAGAGGTGAAGAAGAGCAAGGTAGTGGGGTAGTTATGTGGAAGAGATGTCGTGAGAAGAAAACAGTAAGAAAGCAAGAGACGGCTATAAATGAGAGAAAGATGGAGGGGACACAGAAAGTCTTAAATATAACAAAGTAAACATTATAGCGCCTTATTGTATTAAGGGGTATGTAGAAATTAGTGTGTGTGTGTGTGTGTGTCTATCCCTTAATATTATAAGGCAATATAACATTTACTTCGTTACCTTTAGGATACTTATTCTTAAAACAAATATTTTACAACATTTCTAACAACAACGCAATAAGGATACCTACGGTGCTCCATTCGTAGAATAGATTGTTTCTACCCCATAACGCCCGAGAAACCCCCACGCCCTGGTCTGGCCTTAACGCACCCCTGCGTCTCCTCCAATTCCTATACCAATCATTTTGGTCATATATTTGACCACAAAGTCAAAAATAAATATTTGTGCGATTGGAGGAGACGCATAGGTGGGTTAGGATTGGGCCAAGTTTGGGGTTTACCGAGCGGCTATGGGGGTAAGAACAAAAAAAATTTACAAACAGAGCACCATAAGTGCAGCGATTGCGTTATTGTAAGAAATGATGTAAACAATTACTGTAAGAATAAGCATCTATCTCTTAAAGTTGCAACAAAATTTTTTTACAACAATTGTACAATACTTTAATGTGGGTATCTACCGTGCTCCGATTGTGAGATTGATTGTTCATACCTCCTGTAACCCCCACGGTAAACAACCCATACTCGTCTAGTCCCCAACGCACCCCCGGACCCCTTCTAATTGTACCAAATTTCATTATGGTCAAAAAATTTACCATAAAGTCAATAAAATGCAAAGTACTCCAATTAGAGGAGGTGCAAGAGTGCTTTAGGGGCGGGCGGGCCGAGGGGATTATATATATATATATATATATATATATATATATATATATATATATATATATATATATATATATATATATATATATATATATATATATATATATATATATAA